GCATTATTCTCGATGAGGTATAGTCCGTTTGGAGACTTATCATCCCTTACAACGATGTTTACTATGGAGCCTCAAAGTTGGTGGGTTAACTTTGGTGCCGATGCTCCTCACTTACAGTCGTTGCCTTTTAAGTTGCTTGAACAGCCTACTTCATCTTCTTGTGCTGAGCGCTACTGGAGTACCTACTGATTTATTCATTCACTGAGAAAGAACAAATTGTTACCAAGTCGCGTTCAAGACTTGGTTTTCATCCACAAAATCTACGCCTTTTATCAAGAAATTCTTCTCAGTATGAAGATGAGAAGACTAAGATGTGGGATCTTGGTGGAGATTCCTCTGATCCATTGGAAGATGGAGGATTTTTGGATTTTTCTGAACTCTCTCTAGATGAGTCAGACTTTGAAGACGAGTTTCTCAATCATAATTAACTAGCTTATTTTTCGTGTAAGATATTAGACTATGTTTTTTCTTCTTATGTTTTGAATTACATGAAACTTATTTCTATATAAGTATTTTTTGCTTATACTATATTGCCGTACCCGCTTCCTTATATTTTTGACATTTGTCGTTTTCCGTCCCTGTTCCCGTCCCCGTTTCCATCTCGGTGCAAATTAGGTTAATATTTAGATCAAGAGGTGTGATTGATAAATAAAAAAATCAAGAGAGAGAGAAGGCTATTGAAAAAAAATAGAGTGAAAATAGGGTGAATATTTTTTCTAGTAGATAGTGATTTTGAAAATATATATGTCCACTAAAATTGCAGTTTCTCCTTGTAAGTAGGAAGTGAAGATAGTGGGAAGTTACAACTTACAACACGTTGAAGGGTTTATGAGTTGTAAAATTTTAATTTTTATTAGATTAATAATTAGTTTTTAGAAAAAAAAATTGAAAACCAAAAAAATTTGAGAAATTGACATTTAGTAAAAGAAAGTCTGACTCTAATTTTTGTTTTATAAGATAAAGGATTTGCAAAAGACAAGTTTCTTTATATTTGTTATAATTACTTTTTAAAAAAATCTATAAAGTTAAAAACTAACTAAATTTAGCGTGGTTAATGAATCTACTCAAGTCCGTAGAACAACGAATCTTCCTGGAAGTTTCAAGTGCACTTCGTCAATGCTCATTTTGTATATATTAATCTTCATCATTCACTCTTTCTCAATCTCATATCTCCCTCTCTCACACACACACATACACATAGAGTTTTTTTTCTTCTTCTTTGTTTTGAGATTTTAAATCTGATAAAAGTAAAAGTGATCAATGAAGCATCGAAACAGCGCCCCTTCTCATGGGGCTAGTGGTTACAGTGGCTCAAGAGCTCGTAACATAACTTTCAAGAAGTGAGTTTTCTATTTACATTTGGTTTTCGTACAAAAGAAATCTTTTTTAATTCTGGATAAGGTTTTAATATATGAGTTTCGTTTCTCATGTGAACCACAGAGTTGTGAAGAGAGTTATGAGAGATCAGTCAAATAATCAACTCATGGTTCAGATGGAGAACATGTTAAGAAGAGTCGTGAGTTTTCCCATCGTCTACAGTTTTAACCATTTATTCTGCTTAAATCAAAACCACCTAATTAAATATCTTAATTAATCTCAGGATTAGTTAAATTAACTATTCCTATAACATAGCCACCAACTTTGACCTTTCTTCTCTTCTCTCCCGTTTTAAACTTTGTGGGCTCCTCAATCAACAATGGTCCCTAAAACTATATAATCTAGGGCTTAATTAGCAAAATATGTGCTACTTTGGATTCTATCAAAAATATCCATTAAAATACGAATAATCACAATTACTGAAATTTGAACGGTAATTACAAATTCCAGACAGAACATAACATGTTACAAATACCACAAAACTTCGATATTCGATCGGTACATATCCACCTCTAGTAACATTATAAAGTTATAAATTGAATTAAATAATCTAAGCACATATATGTGTCTTTAATATATATCTTTTGTATGCACATGAACGTGATATATATGCAGTTGTTGCAAATGTATGCTTAATTATATGCAAATTAATAGTAATTAATTTTCGTCTGATTCAGGTCCGAGAGGAGTTTGGTCGTCTTAGTCAACCTTGTCCCGTCTCGTCGTGTGCTCCACACGAGCGATCGCGTTCTGAAACGCAGCCGTCGAGTCCACGACTCAAGCTGCAGTTCGTAAACTCGCCGCAGTCTTCCATATTCACGGGGTCTAAGATCGAAGCCGAGGACGGCTCTCCTGTAGCGATCGAGCTCGTGGACGCTGCCACGAACGCTCGAGTCGTTTCGGGACCACTCTCGTCTTCTAAGGTCGAGATCGTGCCTCTAAACGCTGATTTCACGGAGGAAAACTGGACCGTCGAGGGATTCAAACGGAATATTCTCAAGCAACGTGAAAGGAAACCGCCGTTACTCACCGGAGATTTAACCGTGRCGCTTAAAGACGGCATCGGARTGATAGACGTGGCTTTCTCGGATAAYTCGAGCTGGACAAGGAGTCGGAAGTTCCGGTTAGGTGCGAGATTAACCGGAGGTGGAGCCGTGGAGGCAAGAAGCGAAGCCTTTGGGTGTAGAGACCAACGAGGAGAACGTAAGAAGCGGTTACTGCGTTTGGTTGCATTCGCGGTTACTGCGTTTTGGTGAAGTTTTAATTTTTTSTTTGTTTTGATTATGCAGCTTATAGAAAACATCATCCTCCGTCTCCTGGTGACGAGGTTTGGAGACTCGAGAGAATTGCTAAAAATGGCGTTTTGGCCACGCGTTTGGGTGAAGTCGGGGTTAAAACTGTCAAGGATTTACGGCGTTTGCATGCAACGAATCCAACCGAATTATACAAAGTAAGATTATAAAGCTTAGTTTTAAAAAGTTAAAAATTATAAAGCTGGTTATGTTATTATAATAATAGTATAATCTTCTAACCATAGACCATTAATTGATTCGTTTTATTGATACACCATTCATAAAAACTGAATCGTTTTATTGATACAGATACTTGGTGGAGGGACCTCAAAGAGAATGTGGGAAGCAGTTGTATCCCACGCAATGAATTGCGTTTTGGACGAAACAGATTGTTACTTGTACAACGCAAACGCACTTGACGTCTCTCTTCTCTTCAGCTCTGTTTATGAGTTGATCAAAGTGCTGTTTATAAATGGAGGTTCGTTTAGAAACGCGGATCAGCTAACCAACTATCAGCTAGACCAACTGAAGACGGAAGCTTATCAAAACACTAAAAGCTTTATTGCGGTCGATGGTAGGAACTTTGTGGATCATCCACAAAGGTCCTTACCGTGCCCGCAAGATCCCGGATTTGGCATAGCATGTCCGGGATTGCAGCACATCAACTTCCAAGGTATACAATTTATTTTAGTTACAGTCTATATGATATTTTGTTATACCTTTTTTTTTTTAAACATGATATTTTGTTATGCTTGTACATAGACAACTTATTCGAACTTTTGTGATACTTAGGAAGTTCGAACCCATCAGATTCTTCCATGTCTCTTCACCTCACAGCTGCAATGGATTCTCCGGTCCAACCCGAAATGCTGATGAGTTTCGAGAAGCAGCCAGCTGCAACGTTTCACATCGACCGCAAATTTTTATCGAGTCCCAGGAACAGTTTCAGGGTGAATGAACACGACCCGATTTACGACGAATCACGGGGTGTAGTGACAAGAGGTTGCAACGAGAGCGAGGAGGAAGAGGACAGTTTTTATCATCACCACCATCATGACGGGCCCTCGAACTGGTCACCTGGTATGGAGAACTGGATGGAGAGTATGTTGGTAAGCGTGTCAGGCACGGAAGAAGCTCGAATGTATAATCTTCGTTTTGAAAACATTGTGGGATCTCCTAGAGCTAGGTGGTGTAAGGTTAAGGCAGCTTTCAAGCTCCGAGAAGTCTGGAAGAACACAACTACCAGAAGAAACCAAGGCTTGTAAACAAGGTTTCTTGCGGCAGCAGAAAGATGTGTATATGTGTGATTATGTTTGGTTCGATAGAATAGGGATATATATGGATCCCAGCCATTGACTTGTTCCAAATGGCTTGATAGGTTACGGGGATTAGTCTTTGTGTGTACCATGTTTGATATCTATATTTGACATTTGTATATTGAAGTTTTGTTTTGTTTGACGAAACTATAACCAAGTGATTTGTGCATCGTTCTGTCACTTTTCAGGGTCAAATAATAAAAGGTATAGTGTTTAGTCCCATATGTTAGTGTTAAATCATATCCACTTTTATTGTGTGATATTCTAACAAAATATATTAGTATTCGTGGACTAACGAGATACCCGAGTACTATTATTTAAAATATGATTACTTCTTCTTCTCCTTGAATTGATTTGGGAAGAAGACTATTGGCTTACTACTAACAAAAAGTCTATGAGTAAGTGAAAAACATTGGTCGATTTTGCTTCATTCCTTTTCTCTGTCTTCATGTGAACAAGTTTGCAGAGTCTATGGTTCCTTTTACTCGCTATTGGACTCTAATGCACACACAAACTCATTCATTATTAAAAAAAAAAAAAAAATTCCCACACATCCCGGTGGTGCGTACTGCCACTTGCCTTTCCTCCCGACAATGGTTTGGCGGATGTTTTGTTTTGTGTGATTGTGCTGTCAATAATCTCCCACAAAGTACATAATCATTATTAATCAAAAAGAGCTATAAGGACATTTTCGTCTAATTACCTCACCACCCTTCTTTTTAGTGTGTTTTAAGTAGGACCTATAAAACCTTTCTTGATGGCTCATACCACGAAGAAGAAGCAATCTTGCCAGTCTCTACTTTTTAATTTTATAGGGTTTATAGTGATCAGACCTCAAAGAAGAAGCAATCTCTTGCCCTTTCTCTTAAAGACTATTCGAAGAGTTTCTTGGCTATTGTCGTATTAAAGAGGAGCTTCTAAGAACAAAGGTTATTTTCTTTTGATTTGATGGATCCAAGAGAGTTATGATATTGTCTTATGTATCAATAATTAGCTTCCAAATTTTAGTTGAGAAATGAAAGAAGAAGGGAAGGAGAAAATTATTAGGTGTTGCAATGATTGCAAGACCACCAAGACACCAATGTGGAGAAGTGGACCAGCTGGTCCTAAGGTCTCTTCTTCTACTACATTTGTAACTTGGTTTGATTCTTAAGAGGATAATTCAGCAAGTGTTCTAAAGCTGTTTCTTCGTTTGTTTTGTTGTGAAAATTTGCAGTCACTTTGCAATGCATGTGGGATTAGATTCAGGAAACAGAGACGAGCGGAGTTATTAGGTATTCGTATTATTCACAACCACAAAGTCCTAACCTCCAAGAAGGTAAACCCATTATCATCATCACATGGTGGCGTGGCTGTGAAGAAACGAAGGAGTAGTCTAAAGGAGGAAGAACAAGCTGCTCTGTGTCTACTGTTATTGTCTTGTAGCTCTGTTTTCGCCTAAGAGAATGTAGAATTTCTCACTGGAAAGACAGTTGTATTGTATCCTGTCTTATCGATACCCTATATTTATCTTTAGGCCAATCTTTTGAAGACATATATAACTTTTGAAGATATATATAATTTCTCATTAGAAAGCAGAGCCGGATCTGGGGGGAGTTTTTTGAAACATTTGAATGGTGGGTCCCTACAAGTTAAGAGCCCCACTTAAAAAAAAATTATGTATTAATTTATTAAAAATATGTTTATTTAATGGAAAAAGTGAAGATTAAGAGAGATAGTAAAAAATATATTTGTGAAATCTATTATTTTGTGAGATTATATGATAAAAAGTAAAAATTTTGAATATTTTTTTTCATAATTTTATTCAAATAAGTAGACATGCTTATATTTTTGTTTAAAAAATCAGACTTTTTGAAAAAATATATATAAATTAAATGTTAATTTTTTTTCTTATGGGCCCCGAGAATCTCAGATCTGGCTGTGCCAGAAAGACAGTTGTATTGTATTGTAAGTTGGGTCAATTTTAATCCGTAGAGACTAGGCTTACGGGTTCGAGTAGTTCGAATTTCTCGGTTATCCGGTTAATACATATTGTGATAATCGAATTGATCCAAACTAAATAGGGGCAATTACAAAAATGCCACTTTTTATGTGCACATTTGCAAGAATGCCATTTAGGGGTGTCTATTTACAAAAATACCACTAATTATAGATTTATAAAGCCTATATCTTAAAATTCTAGACCCTAAAAAATGTTTTGACACCTAAAACCCCATAAACACTCAAAACTAAACTCTAATAGAACATAATTAACCCAAACATAAATGATATTAAAAAAAAATTTTTGAAAAAGTGGCATTTTTGTAAAGATTTCAAAAATGTGGCATTTTTGTAAAGTGGCACTTAAAAATGGCATTTTTTGAAATTTCTCAACTAATAAATAACGGCTAAGTACCGTTCGGGTTCGTTTACTCCGGGAATTAAATTTTTTGCCGAATTAAACCGAACTTCTCGAGTTTTTTTTTTGTTTTTTTAATACTTTACTTTTTCAAAATTGATTTAAAAGACATCAGTGAACTTCTCGAGTTTATGATCCAAATTCGGACCAACTCAAATAATTTCGATTATATTTGGTTAGTTTGGTTATATCGGTTAGTTCGCTTCGCTTTCTTGGTTTGATTTTGCTCTATTATAATTGAGCTAATTTAACTAAATGAGCCAACTCAATGAAAAACAAAACTGAACTATTGGGCCAATTTTGAATAATTTGACTTTTTCCTATAGATTAAAAACGATTCAATTGTTTTTACTTTTTAGTTTACCGTTTAGTTCCATTGAACCAAACTAAATAGCTGTGAACCGAATATAGTTTTATTTTTTGCCGATTGGTTAAACATTCTCCAAGTTCCCAATAAATTTTTTTTTTTTGCAGTATTTAAATGTAGTGTAGGTCATTAAAAATTATAAGTGTAAATTGTTTTGAAAAATCGCTTGTAAATTGCTCGGTAAATTAAAATATTTCAACAATTTACACTTATAATTTTTCAACATTTGGTCCTGCAAATTACAAAAACAAATAATATTTTAGAAATATTATTATTACTAATGCATGCTTAAATGCATAGTAAGCTAACCAATCTGGAAACTTTCATCATCAATTACAACATAATTTAGCATCATTGATTGTAACCTCATGAAAAGTGATAACAATAACGAACTCTATACCAACAATTTTTGGCATGTGTTTCCGTCTAAGTTCATCCGTTTATTTCTTCTCTCTATGTTAAATGATTGAATTAACAGAAAGAATGAACCTATTCAATAAAAGGCATAAAATTTGAAACATAAACTCCAAAGCTTTGCATATAAATGTAAACACAAATGACCAAGAGTATCTAGTAATCTCATATATATGCAAAATTTTGGGGTCTCTATTTCAAAGTTTCTTCCTTTTATAGATACTTATTGATCATTTGTGTTTACATATATATGTGAAGCTTTGGAGTCTTTATTTCAATTTTTTTTTTTGTTGAATAGGTTCACTCCTTCTGTTAACTCAATCATTTACATCGAGATAAGAAACAAATGGATGAACATAGGCGCAAACAAATGCCATAAATTGTTGTTCCGGAGTTCCCTATAGTTATCATTTCTCTTATTATGAGGTTGCAATGAATGATGCAAAAAAACAAATGTGCGGCAATATCCATGAAAATATGTTGTGATTGATGAGGTAAGTTTACATATTAGCTAGTGTCCTAGGAATCTGAGTTAATATATGCAAAGATGATCCTTCTGCATGTATTTTACAAGATCACAAGTTGAAAAATCACAAGTATAAATTGTTGAGGGAACTAAAATACTTCAACCATTTACACTTTTGATTTTTCAACATGTGGCCTTGTTTTATACAAGAACAACAAATATTTTAGAAAGATCATCATTACTGATGCACGCTGAGATCTAGAATCTCTATTTGCAATAAT